GCTGGAAACTAAGATAGTGAAAGTGGTATTTAAGATATGAATAATTTGAGAATGATTTATTGGTTTCTTTTGTGAGAAATTAAATCAGAGAATATAGAGGAGAAATTTTTACGGAAAAGATGATAAGTTTGATTCTGAACATTTTGTGTATCCCTGCAACACTCTAATATGTAATATAGGAAAGTGGCTTCAACAATATCCATGATTTCTTTTCTCAAAAATAAGACCCTGTTGTGAATAACCTTAATGTCATTGCCTGTTAATCTGTGCCAGTAATACCTACAACCTACTTCGGGTATTTTCCTTATTGTGCTATGAATTTGAAATATTTCAAAATTTAAATTAAAACATGAAAAAACATACAATAGTTTACTGTGATAAAGTTTAAGTCCCTCTGCTATAATTTAACTAAAACCTGGATAAATTAGCAAGCTAAACTTTTTTTTTTCATTTATTTTTATTAGTTGGAGGCTAACTACTTTACAATATTGTAGTGGTTTTTGCCATACATTGACATGAATCAGCCATGGAGTTACATGTATTCCCTGTCCTGATCCCCCCCTCCCACCTCCCTCTCTACCTGATCTCTCTGGGTCTTCCCAGTGCACCAGGCCCAAGCACTTGTCTCATGCACCCAACCTGGGCTGGTGATCTGTTTCACTATAGATAATATACATTTTTCGATGCTGTTCTCTCAAAACATCCCACCCTCACCTTCTCCCACAGAGTCCAAAAGTCTGTTCTGTACATCTGTGTCTCTTTTTCTGTCTTGCATATAGGGTTATCATTACCATCTTTCTAAATTCCATATATATGTATTAGTATACTGTAATGATCTTTATCTTTCTGGCTTACTTCACTCTGTATAATGGGCTCCAGTTTCATCCATCTCATTAGAACTGATTCAAATGAATCCCTCACTTTAAAGATACTACCAGAACTCACAAAAGAGCAAGGCAAAATTTTAAGCCACACTCTAAAGATTGTTTTTAAGGAAACTAGTGCTAGGGTTTGGGGATTTAACATCTAATTCTCAGATTTAATACGAACTGAATATAAGACCTCCTCTTATTATTTGGAAGGCCTCAGAAAGGACTAAAGAGGTTGACAGATGCAAACCAAAATACTTCTTGGAAGAAATTGACCCCAACATTTAGTTCACAGGATTCTCACAGATTAAATTCAATAAAAGTATAGTTCATAACAAAAAATAAATCACAAGAAAATGAAACACCATAAATAACAGTGAGCAAAAACAACAGCAGATTTATACCCCCAAATACTTCTCATATCAGAATTACCAGATAAAGAACATCTATACATAAAATGCTAAAAGAAATAAACTATTAAATTTTGAAAAATGAGTAAAGAGTAAAGGTCTATCAAAAACAATCCTGCATATTTGCAAAAAAAGCACTTCCAAAGAATATTTCTGTTAAAACCAATAGAATATGATTGAGGTTCAGAAAGTGAAGAGGAACTAAAGAGCCTCTTTATGAAAGTGAAAGAGGAGAGTGAAAAAGTTGGCTTAAAGCTCAACATTCAGAAAACTAAGATCATGGCATCTAATCCCATCACTTCATGAAAAACAGATGGGGAAAATAGTGGAAACAGTGAGAGACTTTATTTTTTGGGTTTCCAAAATCACTGCAGATGGTGATTGCAGCCATGAAATTAAAAGACGCTTGCTCCTGGGAAGGAAAGTTATGACCAACCTAAACAGCATATTAAAAAGCAGAAACATTACTTTGCCAACAAAGGTCTGTCTAGTCAAGGCTATGGTTTTTCCAGTAGTCACGTATGGATATGAGAGTTGGACTATAAAGAAAGCTGAGCGCCGAAGAATTGATGCTTTTGAACTGTGGTGTTGGAGAAGACTCTTGAGAATCCCTTGCACTGCAAGGAGATCCAACCAGTCCATCCTAAAGGAGATCAGTCCTGGGTGTTCATTTGGAAGGACTGATGCTGAAGCTGAAACTCCAATACTTTGGCCACCTGATGCGAAGAGCTGACTCATTTGAAAAGATCCTGATGCTGGGAAAGATTGAAGGCAGGAGAAGGGGACGACAGAGGATAAGATGGTTGGATGGCATCACCAACTCAATAGACATGACTTTCGGTGGGCTCCGGGAGTTGGTGATAGACACAGGGAGGCTTGGCGTGCAGCGGTTCATGGGGTCACAAAGAGTCGGACACAACTGAGCAACTGAACTGAACTGAATTGAGGTTCAGAAACGAACCCAACCACATATAGAAATCAGATATATGATAAAAGTGGTATTTTAATCTCTAGAGCAAAAAGGATATCTTTAATAAAGGGTATAAAATATAAAATTAGATACAAGCCATATCAGGCACCAAGAAAAAGTTTAATTGAATCAGAGATATAAATATAAAAAGTAAAAATAAGTAAAGATAAGAATAAAACATGATTGAATTTTCCTTAATTTTTATTCAATAAAATAAAATACTAATAAATTTAAAAATTCATCTACATAAACATTTAAAATTATTAGATAGCAAAAAAAATAAGCAAAGTGAAAAAAGAAATGACTAACTGGGAGAACATGTGTATAACATAAATCATGGAGAAAGGTCTGATATCTTTAAAAGCAAATGAATTTTTAATTGATGGAAAAAGGCCAGAAATACCAAAGAAAGATAGGCAAAGATCCAAAGTAACACATCATAAAGCCAGATATAAAAATGGCTCTTACACATACAAAATAACCCTTCTATGAAAGCACAGTGATGAAATTGCAGACAGTAATTTGGCAATTATCTCACAAACTTACATGTTCATTTATTCTTTGATCCAGCAATCTCACTACAGGAATTTAACCCAAAGATTAGTTACAGCAATATTAAAATATATGTGCACAATTATATTCCTGAACCATTATTTTTAGTGGTAAAATTTGGGAAGCAACCTAAATGTCGAAGAGGGGAAATTAGCTGAGTAAACTAAGATATATATACACAATGGAGTAATACATAACTGAATAACATAATGAAGAAGATCTTGTTAAGCTGATATGGAGTAATTGCAGGAGGTATTTTAAGTGAAGAAAGCAAAAATGCAAAATATCGTATATCATATATAATATGCTATGTTTTGGTAGGAAAGAAGGGGAAACAAACAAACAAAAATACATGTATCTGCTTATTTTCACACACACATAAAGAATCACATGAAAGAAAAACCAGAAGTTAATAAAGTTGGTTACTTACAAGAGGTGGATGTGTTTTGAGATAAAAGGGATATAGAATAGGGACATCCCTGGTGGTCCAGTGGTTAGGACTGTGCTTCCAATGAAGGAGGTATGGGTTTGATTCCTCGTAAGGTAACTAGAATCCCACATGCCAAGTTGTGTGACCAAGCAGTTTAAAAATTCAAAAGAACATTTTTTAAAAAAAGAAATATAGGGTAGAATGACACTTCGCTGAGTGTACTTTTTTGATTAGTGTTGATCTTCAGAAGCAAGTTAGTTATCTGCACATTAAAAATCAATCAACAAATATTTGTTGTTGTTCAGTAACTCAGTCCTTTCCAGCTCTTTGAGACCCCATTGACTACAGCATACCAGGCTTCCATGATAGTAAAGAAGAAGAAAAATTAAACTATGAAAAAGTTAAAAAAACAACCTACTTTGTTTTTATGAGTATCATAATTCACTGAGGGATAAATCTACAAAAAAGAAAGTAATCCAAGTAACCCAAAGTATTTGTCTGTGGGATAGGTGTTCAAAGAATTGGAAAATGCTGAACTATTTTTAGTAGATTTCATTTCTATAATGGTAGATTCAAGGCAATTCTGAAATCATTTAAGATGTATTAAATTGACCAAAAGGATAAGTGCATCAGAGTTGCTGTGGATGAAAAAACATGTAAATAAGAAATGGGGAAGGGAAGAAAGAGCCCTGGAAGATGGATTAGAATGGGAGATATTGTAAACTCATGATTTCTAAAATATTTGTATGTATGTGTATATGCAAATGCATGTATTTGTGCCTGCCTGCTATGTTGCTCAGTCATATCTGTCTCTTTGCAACCCCATGGACTGTAGCCTGCCAGCCTCCTCTGTACATGGGATTTCCCAGGCAAAAACCCTGGAGTAGATTGCCATGCTCTATTCCAGGGGATCTTCCTGACCCAGGGATAAAACCCAGGTATCTTATGTCTCCTGCATTGTCAGGTAGATTCTTTACCACTAGTGCCATTTGGGAAGCCCACAGACGTGCATGCATATATGTAAATATGTGTATACATATGTTTAAATACGCATATATTTTCTAGTACTAGTGCTATTCACTGAATGTTCTTTTAGTAAAGACACCTTGATAACAATGAGCATGCCTAAAGCCCAAAATTGATCTCTAATACTACTAAAGGTAACCAGGAATCCATGGAGGAATATATGACTCTCTGGCTGGTCCATGGTAAATATAAGCCTAGAACATCTTCTGTCAGAAAAATAAGAATTAGTCAAAACTTATGGAGGCATGTCTCAAAGACATAGAAACCCATAATGAAGCCTTCACTGGCCTAATATGGCACAATTTTTGCAATAGCAACAAAAATTATGAATTCATAATTCATATTGATAATAAACAAATGGTGAAGATGATAGATAGATAGATAGATAGAAAGAAAGGAGGGCTCTTGCCCTCAGTAGAAGGCTGAGTGCTAAATAGTGAATGTGGAGAGTACTGGAAGTGGAAAATCATCTTTCTGCAACCACCATAGTAAAGATCAGTTCAGGCAAGAATCAATGGATGCCAAATATGGGGAAAATACTGATGAAGAGCAGAACATGCACATGATCTTAAAACTTCCCTTCACGGGCTGCTTATTCATTACAAGAGGGAAAAATAGTGACGGTGCACTTGAGACATGAGACAACACCCTGATGGTGTGATGGAATTATGTACATCACCAGTGAGTAGGTAGACATCATGTCCCTTCAGGTGTGATACCTCAGGGTGACCAGTGTCACTCACATCGTATTCTGACCAGGAATATAGTCAGGATATACTCATGAGGAAATGCCAGACAAAGACCAAATGAGGAGTGTTCTATTAAAAAGATCAAAAGGTACTTCATCCTTCAAAAATACCAACAAGATAAATAAAGGTTTTGGAGATGTTCCAGCTATGAAGTGACCTTAGAAACACAACTACATGCAATATCTGATCCTAAACTGGTTCCTGTACTGGAGGGAAAAAACACTAATAAAGGACATTATTGGGTTAACTGACAAAATTAAAATATAAATAGTAGATTAGATTAAGTATTCATTACTATTAAGCATACTGAAGTTGATAATTATAGTGCGACTACATAGGAAAATTTCTTATTATTGGAAAATTCATATTTAAGCACTTAGAAAAGGGCCAGTTCAGGTTACTTTTAAATTGGTCAGAAACACACATATGCATAAATAGATGGATGAATAGACAGATGATAGATAAATACATACATAAATACAAAGATATATAGATACATAGACAGAAATATATGCCATTCTGAACATATATATATACATGTGTTTGCATATTTGTATATAAAAAAAAAGGAGGAAGAGGTGAAAGAAGAGAAGGAAGGAGAATAATATGACAGACAGAAAATGAGATAAGATGTTAACAATAGGAGAATCTGGGTAAAAGATATGTGAGTTGACTTTTTTTTTACATTCTTGCAATTTTCTGTAAATCTGAAATTATTTCCAAATAAAAAGTATTATAAAGCTCTTGAGTCCTCAAGTGAAATGTTGGGATGAACTTAAAATAAAATTTACCTCATCAAAAAGAAATAAAACAACTTGAATATCAGACGGGGAAATGCTTCCTGATACAGGGTAAGAGGTGAGGTCACCATGGTGTTGGCTGTGGTTGGTGTGGGCTGAGAGTGACTCTGCAGAGTGGCTCAGGATGGGAAAATGAAGGACAGATATCAGAGCAGATTCAGGGTCCCCTGTACACTAGTAACAGAGGCCCACAGCCAAGTTCTTGGGGTTTTTGCCTTTCCTTTCTGACAAGCCCTGGAGTGTTCAGTGAGGTGCCAGGTTCATCCTTGGGGGCTCCAGGACACATCCACATAGGGTTAGTTTGGCTTTGATGAATTTTCTGGGGTTGGCAAATATACTTCATGCCCTGAATACCCTAACCTCAACATTTCTTTCTTTTTCCATTAAGTTCCTTGAAAGAGGATGAAAAAACCAAAATATAAGAAATTCTTTGGATGCTAAGATGGCATGGGTGCTGTGGACACACCTCAGATACCTTACCCAAGACTCCAGGTCCCCCACTTCAGCGAAAGAAAGACTCTTCCTTAGTGCACCCATCAGAGACGATTTCTTCGCAAAACTGACGGCGCTATTAAAATCAAGAAGACAGGCTGTCAGCCAGTCTGTCTAAGTCTTAACCAGGCTCTATCACTTACTGACTGGAAGACAATAGGAAAGTCACTTTCCTGTACCTTACTTCCCTTACCAGTAAGAGTATAAATACTATATTGTGAGGTTTGAACTAGTAATGCTACACGGCACTTATCACAAAAAGATAGAAAATATTTAACACATTTAGTCATTTAGAGTTAATATTCTCTTAGCTAAATCCTTTAACTGGTGAGAGTTTAGGCTCTTCTTTCATAGCTGTTTTCTGAATTGTACCTGTTTATTATTCTCTTTTATCTGATCCTTACAGTTTCCCTCATAAACTCTAAAGTTGACTAAGCTATATTCTCGGTTAACAGTCTCTAACCCTTGAACCCATATCCACACATCCTCAAACACATGCACATACACGAGCTAGACTGCAAAACACCATCTGATGCACAAAATAGGGCCTTTTCCAGATTAATCAGGACTATGCTGTCTCTAGTCAGAGAACTCAGGGTTATAGGCAGAATGAGCAGTGATTTAAGAGGTCCAGAAGTCTCTCTTGATCTCAAGCCTTCATCCAACATGCTGAAATCCCTGATATGTTAAACATCTTATTAAGAAGATTGATATTTAGTTGAGTTAAGGCAGGAACATAGTAGAAGAAATGTGTGGCTTCTGTTGGGGTTCCAATCATAATTCTGCCCTGCCTGAACCTCTCTGTGACCTAGTTTCATCAGAAGAGAAGACCTACATCAATGACTCAGTAGAGTCATACAGGTAAAGTACTTTGAAAAAAAAAATGTCATTATGCTATGTAAGTATGATTTAGGTCTTCCCAGGGAATCAACTTGCCAATACAGGAGAAAAAAATATACAGAATTTTTTCAAGGAACAAGTTGTCATATGTACCATGAAGGGAAAAGAAAATGCAGTGACAGAGAAAAAGTAGGATGGAAGGTGGTGAGTGTATGTGTGGGGATGCAGAGGTGTGTGGGTTTGACCATCAAAAAAGGCTTCTCTGAGGAGGAGGCATTTGACTTCCCTCTGGGAGGAGGCCTCACTAAGGAGAAGCCATTTACTGGGGCTCTCCACGTGGCATTAGTAGTAAAGAAACCACCTGCCAATAAAGGAGACATAGAGACACAGATTCCACCCCTAGGTCAGGAAGACCTCCTGGAGGAGGGCATGACAACCCACTTCATTACTCTTGCCTGGAGAGTCCCACGGACAGAGGAGCCTGGTAGGCTAGCGTCCATAGGGTCGCAAAGAGTCAGACACGACTGAAGCAACTTAGCTCGCATGCATGCACTGAAAATGAGGAGAAGCCGTCCAGAAACGGGACAGCCTGCGTGAAGAGTCCACAATGAACGATGGCTGGCCAGGGGACCTGGCTTAGTGGGTGAGCGAGTGCATGGCCTGCAATGAAGGCGGAGGTCAGATCATGCAGGACCCAGCTGGGCATGGGAGAAGTTCAAATTTGACTTTATGAGCCCTGTGAAGTCATTGCAAGTCTTTAGGCAATCCAATTTAACGTAATCCAATTTACTTTTTCAGATGCTCTCACTGACTGCCATATAAAAGTATATTGGCCCAGAGACAAGACAGAACACAGGCAGACTAAATCCTCTCCCAGGGGATTTGGCTGTTGTATTCTCTGAACTGAAGAGACCGCCCAGGCAGTGGTTTGTTTGGTCACCCATACAAAATGCATCCCTCTGTTTTTCAGGGAACCAGTCCAAAGCCTCCTATACTCTTTGAGCTTGGATCACTGATGTTCTATTGGCGCTGGGAGGGACAGCAGGTTTTGACTTTTGAATAATGTCATGTGCCTTGTAACATATGGCTTTGATCTATCTGAATGGGAATCTTGGTCTGTTAATCTGACATCATTATTACCATCTCTTTGGCACTCGAGATGTAAATTATGTTCTGACAATTTTTTTCCTTTTAATTTTACAATCAGCTTGTCTTAATATTTAATTATTAATAAGAAGATTTGCTCTTCTATTCCATAAGTGGAAATTTGAAGAAAGAATTCCAATTTTGAAAATCCTTTCCATACTGAGATTGACTAAATGCTCAATTGTTTGGCTAATTGCTGAGGTTTTGTTGGTTTGCTTGTTTGCATTTGAAAAAAAATATGTTTGAGTATCTGGATCTACAGCTTCCATTAATTAATTTGACTGTTTTGTCCTTTTTTTTTTTTTTTCGCCTATCAGGTGTTACACAGATAGGTTTAATGTATTGAGTATCTATTGACCCTTATTCTGTCTCTAAGTGGCTGTATGAATTTGGACCTCTGAGAATGTCAGCTATTTTAACCGACCATTTAAGTTCTAATAACCTATGGTTTGGATGTTATTGTGTATACTAGAGGACATAGCATTGTTTCTTTTTGTTCTTTTTGATACTGGCCTCAGTATCAGAGGCCAAGATGGAGTTAGGACTACAGAAGTTGTCTTGAGGAGTAGGACCTGTGAAAGGAAAGGAGGGGAAGCAGAAACAGCGTGGTGTGTCATCACACTGGGTGTAGTCCTGATGAAGTTCTGCCAGTCCAGTTCCAGGCTTCAGACCAATGATTGTTCCTTTAAAAAGTCCTACAATTTGGGGCAGAAATAGTCAGACCTTGAATCACCATCTTGCTCAGTCATTGGCTGAAATTCTCAAAAAGAGCGTGACCTCGTGTGCAAAGCTAAAACGGACCCTGAAGGCACAAATGGTCTGATGATGGGCAGCCAACCACAGTCCTTGCTGCTGGGCAGCTCCTCCTTCGTGGAAGGAGAAGCAGAGTGCACCACGTCTCTTTGCCTTCCACAGAGGAAGTGCATCCCTCCGTGTATCAGGGAACCTTGTGTCCCATGAAGTAGTTGTCTGCGCACATGAGCGAACATCTCCTTCTTTCTCCCTAAAGCAAACTTGGAAGAGAGAGGTTAATGGAACAAACTGCAGTCCTTATGACTGCTGTTGACCTAAGGGCCACAACTGCTCACTGTTCTTCTCTCTAATCCCATTCTAATGTGCCCACATCCTCTCCCACTACCTCTGCTGGTCTTAGTGGCTGACCTGGTCATGTGACTCAAACTCTCATTTCTGAGAGGTCTGAGATCCCTCTCAGCCAGGGTCATCTTGCTTGTTTATTCTCAGTCACAGTTAGGCAGGAGAGAACTAAAAATCACCCCAAGTGGGTCACCTGAACTCCCCATGGATTTTCCCCCTGCCAGGGTACAAGAGCAGCCCAACCTCTCTCCCAACAGAGGTGTGTATAGTCACATCTATGGTTTTTCCAGTAATCATGTATGGATGTGAGAGTTGGACCATAAAGAAGGCTGAGCCCTGAAAAATTGGTGCTTTTGAACTGTGGTGCTGGGGAAGACTCTTGAGAGTCCCTTGGAAAGCAAGGAGATCAAACCAGTCAACCCTAAAGGAAATCGATCCTGAATATTCATTGGAAGGACTGATGCTGAAGCTGAAGCTCCAATATTTTGGCCACCTGATGCAAAGAACTGACTAACTGGAAAAGACCTTAATGCCGGGAAGGATTGAAGGCAGGAGGAGAAAGTGATGACAAAGGGTGAGATGATTAGATGGCATCACTGATACAATGAATGTAAGTTTGAGCAAACTCAGGGAGATAGTGAAGGACAGGGAAGCCTCGCGTGCTGCAATCCATGGGGTCACAAAGAATTGGACATGGCTTAGCAACTGAACAATAACAATCTCT